GCAAATAACGGAAATGGTGGAGGGTCAGAGGATGATAAATGAAAAGCTGGACTCGATTTTAAGAAACTTCAGTAATATACAAGGAAATGAATCAGGCTTAGGTGACTCATTTTTAAAACCAGGAGTATTCGCTGAGCTCCCATTCCAACAGCTGGAAAAATTTGAAGAGTTTGAGGCAGCGTTGACTGATGAAAAGTTAGCAAAGCAGCTTGTAAGTAATTGTCACAAGTATGTTTAACTTAGGTGTAATTTGATAAACAAAAACATAAGTACTGGGAATAGTTTTCTGAAAGATCTATTTTTAAGATTGGTTTATTAATTGTTTGCAGTACCGTACTCAATATATGTCAATTAACATTATGATACAATTACCAATATAATCTTTACAGATGGTCAGGCGGAAACTATCCAAGATAGGCCATATGACCTATGAAACTTGTTTTTTTTTAGACCTACTATAAAAACCTGGAAACGTTTGTGACAGTATTCGCTGGGCAACCTGTATATCCGGCATGCCTGTATAAAACAAAATAGTCAGCTGGTAAAATTGTTATTCAGTCAATATTTTTGTTGAGGTTTACTAACATTGAGGTCTAAAAAAGGGGTGAACAGGTCACTTTTGTTAATTATTATGTTCTTTATGTATTTCATTTGTGTGTTGAATACATGATTTATATTCTCTATTTTTTGTTAATTTATGTGTACAAATATTGTGATTAACAGAGTTTTCAGGCAATCACGAAAGCTAAGGTCACACGAGCTTAAGATAATGGGAAGAGTGTTCCCCAGTGATGACAAACCACTATTAGCTCATTAATTATAATAATAATGAACTATTTCAGTGGAGTCCTGATAATCCGAAATGATAGATACAAGACCAATTTCAGATATTTCAAAAATATTTAATACTAAGCGAACTTAATATGTACAATGAGTGGTTTTATCAAGTTCCTGCTGTTAAGCTGCGATTGGCAAAGTTATTCTGTCATTTGTCTGAGAACATTAAGTACACAGAAACAAAATTAACAGCTGTTCACTTTTTGCAAAGTTGTACCAGTCGTAATCAATAAATCCTCACAGTGGATATTTTACGGCCCTACCTTAAAAATGTGAAACCTGCCTTTACCCGCAATTGGTAAAACCATCCTGTACTAAAATTTTTTTATTAACAGCAGGTTGCAGTTTTTTTCGGATTCAGCAGACTTTTGCATTTCTAAGTTTCGGATCATCGGGCTCCACTATATTAGTTTTGGTGTTCCTTGAAGCTGACAAGTTTATTTTTCAGGTAAGACTTTTGTCCTCTCTTGGAGGTAAAGACTTGAAAACTGCCGTCAATAGTATGATGAGAAGAACAATGGTCGATGACCTTGCAACAATTTTTTCTTATTCAGGAAAATCCACACCAGAAGTGAAGAAAGTTCCATTTTCGTACTTCACGATTTGCAAATGTGTTCAAGGTTAGTGTAATTGTTAGTTTAAATTCTCAAAATTTTGTCCATTTGGGATTTTAAATGTTTGTACTTTTTGCTACTAAAAAAACTCTCTTTAAACTCAGTTGGTGCCTGTCCTTCTCTTTCAATGAAATAATTATGTTATCATGAGAATCTTTGTATGGTTGTTGAAATAGTTATTTTACTTCATGATGTAATTTTAACAATTTAACGTAAAAATAGGTATAGATTAAATCTGGATAACACAAACATTTAACTTCAGCTACAGTTTCCTTATCGGTCCACATCTCACAACCCCTAATAACTTGGGGTTTATCTCAACTGAATAATTCAAGTTTAAGACACCTGTCATGATAGGGGTGTGGAATTTTTAGCCATTCAGGGGTTTCTATTCCAGAAAAACTAAATCTGTGCGACGACATACGGTGTTGGAAGCTGCAGACATAACAAGATAAATTTCAGACGCTTAAATCCCCCCCCCCCCCCCCCCCCCAATACCCCGGAATCCCAAATCATTTAGTAATACTTGGATGCCAAATGTTTTATTACATGTATTAGCGTACATTTAAATGTTGTAGCCTCTGATTGAGAACCTCTAAATTTTGCTGTTTGGTTGTTGTTATAGATTTAACTTATATTTATCTTAATGTTGCAGTGGCTGCAAGAAAGAATTTTTCTGAGGCTACGGAGGCTTCAATCAAGACGTTGATTAGCAATTGGCTACAGCAAGCCAAATTCAGGACGAGCAGGAGGTATAATATTTCTTATTATTATCTGATTGCGACTTTATTTGCATTCTAAGCTATGAATTGTAGGCCTATTGTTAACTAATATGTGTCAATGAATAAATAAGCGGAATAACCCAATTTAAAACTTTTAGATTAGGGTAAGGTAGTTTACCGTAAAGTGGGACTTAGCCGCTGAGTGTGTTGTGTAACATTACAGTGATGTGGTCAATAAATATTCCTAACTAATATGTGTCTTTCACAAGCAATGAAAGCCCCACAAAGCTTGAGTTTGTGTCGCACATGCTTAGTCGGAATAAACCAATTTAAAACTTTTAGGTTAGGGTAAGGTAGTTGACAGTAAAGTGGGACTTATTTATTGCCGCTGAGTGTGTTGTGTAACATTACAGTGATGTGGTCAATGAATATTCCTAACTAATATGTGTCTTTCACAAGCAATGAAAGCCCCACAAAGCTTGAGTTTGTGTCGCACATGCTTAGTCGGAATAAACCAATTTAAAACTTTTAGGTTAGGGTAAGGTAGTTGACAGTAAAGTGGGACTTATTTATTGCCGCTGAGTGTGTTGTGTAACATTACAGTGATGTGGTCAATGAATATTCCTAACTAATATGTGTCTTTCACAAGCAATGAAAGCCCCACAAAGCTTGAGTTTGTGTCGCACATGCTTAGTCGGAATAAACCAATTTAAAACTTTTAGGTTAGTGTAAGGTAGTTTACTGTAAAGTGGGACTTATTTATTGCCACTGAGTGTGTTGTGTAACATTACAGTGATGTGGTCAATGAATAGTGTTCCTAACTAAAGTCTCTCAATGCTCAAGTTAAGAACCTGTCATCTTTAACCAGCCTTATGGTCATAAGATTTAAAACTACCAAAAACCCTAACATTCACATTTTTTCACATTTTAAAAATTTTGATTTTCTCTAATGAGATTGAAATGTTTGTTTCAGGAAGAAAGAAGTAGCCCCAGCTCTGGGCCAGAACTTAGATTAGGTTGGCCGCTGTCATTATTTTCTAATAAACATTATATCTATCAAGAACAGTTCATTTTGTTTTAATTCTTACCAGCACACTTCTCTGTAATTTACTTAGTTCCAAAAGATGAAAGTAAAGTAAAAGTGTAAAAATGGTTATACAATTTTTGTTATGTTCTAATTATTTAACAGTTTTATGGATTAAATATATTTTTTATTATAGATAAAATTATATTTTATAACATGCTGAGTGCCAATTTTAAGATGCAAAGTCAAAAAATATATCATTGGGCAGAAAATACTTTTTATAAAATCAAAAAGAAATGATATATAGCCAGTAAAGTGAAATAATTTTCAGTGTAAAAATGAAATAAGTTATCAAACGGGGGTTGATAAAAAGAACTTCATTTACCTAATAAAATTACTTAAGAAAATATTCCTCTGAATTAATATTTTATATTCTGACTATTTTTATAACAACATTAGAGTATTATACTAGATTATGAACAAGTTATAAAAAGCAGTAAGTATTGAACTAACAATTCCATATGTTTCAAGCTTACTCAGTTACATCTCATGAAAATTAGGTGAAAAATGTAAACTAATTTTTAAGACATGTAACCAAGTAAATTTTGATTAATTTTGCCAATAAAATTCAAAATTTAAAAAAATCATCCTTGGTTCAGTCAATAATTGACCTTGATTTTGCCTTGAAACTTGAGATTCCCCTTGAAATCTGCTTTGTTTTTAGCTTAAAACAGGCAATAAAATTCAAAATAAAAAAAATCATCCTTGGTTCAGTCAATAATTGACCTTGATTTTGCCTTGAAACTTGAGATTTCCCTTGAAATCTGCTTGGTTTTGAGCTTGGAACAGGCAATAAAATTCAAGGCTGTTTCAACCCAAACCCGTGTTGACTTGGATGCTTGAATCAGGCCTGATTTCGCCTTGATGTCTTGAATATTATTCCTTAATTCAAGGTTGGTGTCTTGAAAATTGAGGGTCAATTCAGCCAACAAACAACCAAATTTTGCTATGTGGGTATGCTGAGTTACAGTCAGTGGAGCTCAATTTAATGTTTTAGGAAAGCCATAAACTAGAGGAAACTTAATATTTACTGTAAAAAAAAACCCATAACTTACATTGAAGAAGTGTATGTAGGCCAAATAGAACATACAGAAGAGACACTATATTTTCAAACCATGAAAAAGCTACTAACTTGTCTTAGACTCAAATAATACTCACTAATATACAGGAACTAGGAGATGTTTTTATCTTTTTATGCAACTAAAGTCGTTTAACTTTTCAAAGGAACAGTCTTCTGGTCTTTTTATTTTCTCATGGTCAGTTATTTTGAGGAAAATTAGTAGTCCAATAAAAAATATCAGGGGTAAAAATAGTCAAATTTAAAGTCGTTTTATGGGTTGTAAATAGAACATTTTAAATTGATTGGAAAACCTAATTTGACTAAGGGTTATCATTATAAATTTGTTAAATGTTTTACCCAGATGGATTAATGTCAAGAACAGAGAGTCAAGGAATTGAGGGCCGCTCATGCTCCTTACTCAGATTGCTCTATTATATTTAATTGACAGCCAGTATAAAAACAAAGTTACTCAGGCATGTGCTTGTTTGAGCCTAATACCTTCTTCCTCATAGAGCATAGCATATCCTACCATGATTTAGGGCTTGACTGTCGACTGTCAGCATCCATTTTTTACTTGACTAATTGTGTCTGTTTCTATTGGATTAACCACATGGGTATCAATATTTCCATTATTTACTAACCCTGGAAAAAATAGTGTGAATCTGCATGCAATAAATACTAACCTTGAAATGGTATGGCAAGCTCAACGTCAGAAATAGTTACACTTCCAATCCCATAATGAACCAATTCTAATTTACATAAAGTTCCATCGTATGTATCAAGTAGGTCTAGGATAGCTTCTACAGATCCATCAACATCACCTGCAAAGTTTTTATATAAATTAAAGCAATCTTTTATTAAAGGCCAAGTCACACCGCGCTCAGTCCCGCGGCGGGAGCGAATTTTGAAAAATCGCTCACCAACTATTGGGAGTATTTCATTTGGTCCAAAATCATTTGGTCAAACAGTTGTAAAACAGTTTGTTTGGTCCAAAATCGTTTGGTCCAACAGTTGTAAAACAGTTAGTTTGGTCCAAAAGTACAGGTAAAACCAGAAGTACAATTTTACATTGTGGAGTAAACTTATGAAATAGACTGTACGTTTCATGGTGGACCATTCGATCGGGTCGTTTTATCCAACACTCTAATACGAGTTCGTTTGGTCCAACAATATGAACTGTTGCGTCCCTCACATTGAAGGCGTTTAAATAATCGCCGTCACGACGTCAACCCAACCGCCTGCCTTCCGAGACCTATTTGTTGTTTTGTTTTATGTTCCTAAATAATTTATATGTTTGCATTTATATACACGTACACATACATATATTTATTTATATATAATGTGCTTGTGCCCTGTTTACTTTTTATCCCCAGTCAATCTTAAAACAACGTGTTTTAATTCCTTAATTCCTTTTTTATGTCACCATCTGGGTAAGTTACTTTGAGAGATCAATCAAATGGTTTTTGTTGCTGAGTAGCGCTAGTAAACATGCACAACACTTTTCTTTAGTTGAATAACATTCATTGGCTCTATTGTGTATTCTTTCACTAAGCTGATTGAATACATCAAAGTAAACTCTCTAAAAGTATGTAATAAATTGAAATTTAGGTTAATGACTTTCTATATCTTATCATGCAATCATAAAATTATTAAAAATTTAATCCAGTTACTGTAAACCACAATTAATTTGAAAAAATATGGACACGGCTCATATGGGCAACGTGCCCTTCTGCACTTGTATTATTCTGTATCGTATTACGTAATGGGAAATTTTCCAATGATTAAATACACATTTATAACAATAATCTCATGAACATATGATGATCTGTCTTGAATAATATGACAAAATATCGGCAAAAGTAGTCAAAAAGGCAGACACCAACCAGTACAATAGATATAACATAATGCAATAAGAAATCATTGAAAGAGTTACTGTAATATTAAGATTATACAATTATTCGTAATGGAACGTTATATTGCTAAACATGACATTATACAGAAGAACATCAATTAAAAAAAAAAGAAAATAAGATCCTTATATATAATTCTGTAAGACCAAATTTTTACCAGGAAATTGTGGACGTACAGAAAATATGAGTAGGCTAATTAATGTAATTTTCATGTTCTATTTTAACTTTTGATTAAGAATTATAGACAACGATGGAGGATCAATAGTAAACACTCCATTGTAAATAAATGCAACAATAAAAAATAAGGTGAATGATAAACATTTAAACACGTTGGTCCACTGAATTTCTATACACTCTGTATATTAGAAGGTTGCCAAATGTGATAAAATCTGTTAATTTATAAGATTTCCAACCGTATGATACACTATTGAACTTTAAGTCTGCTTATAGTGGTTTGAATACTACAAAACATGGTGTCTTTTAACGTTTAAAACATTGAAAGTCGGCATGTTTAAAGCAAAAATTGTATTAATATTAAGAATAAGAAATATTTATTTCCATTGATCTTTATAAAAGAAATAGGACACGTCATTGTTATACATAGTTACAAGGTATTCAGTGTTTACAGTACAAAATATCTTAATTCAAATAGCCACTTACATGAAAATAAAAGCTTTATTTCAACTTACTCTTCAAAATCTAATATTTATTTCACAACTTAAAAATCATCAATTTTGTAAAAGGGATTTTTAACAATCCAGTCATACAGTTTATTTTTAAAAATACTGTAAGAAACTAATTTTGCTTCTTCAGGCAGCTTATTAAAAACATTATACAATTTAATTTATGTGAATGTTTGGTTTTTGCCAATCTGTGCTGCAATATATCTAATTTATCCCTACCTCTTGTATAGTGATTGTGTACGTCTTTTCGGAAAGAGAATTGATCTAAGTTTGACTTTGTATATATTAGAATTTGGAATATATAAAGATTTACTATGGTTGGTATCCTGAAATTAATGAAAAGAGGTTTACAATGTGTATCCGAGCATTCTCCAGCAATGCTTCGAACCGCCTTTTTCTGGAGTAAAAGGATGTCATTAATATGTGGAGAGTGGCCCCACAAAATAAGACCATATAGTATGTGTGATTGCAAGAGTCCAAAATACGCCAATCTTAAATATTCTTGACTAACAAAATCCTTAAGTTTCCACAGCAAGCACCTCACTCTTGAAATTTTGTTACAAACAGATTTTATGTGTGATGACCAATTTAATTTTGAACCCAAATTAAATCCTAAAAGTTTAACTGATTCAAATTTTACCTCTGTTTTAAGACTGATATCTATATATATAAAAGGCAAAGCCCTCACTGACTCACTGACACACTCACTCACTCATCACTAATTCTCCCACTTCCCATTTACCTAGGAGGCTGAAATTCGGTACACCGATTCTTTGGGCATTAAATAGGAAAACTAAGTAGTTTTTATTCTGATCGGGCTTTCGGGCTCCGCCCCAGTGGCTCTGGAGTTTCCCATGTTAACCTTATGTTTTTTTTTTTACTAGTGTACATGTTGCTCGAAATCGAGCAATTGCAAATAAGTACAGGAGTTATTTATAAACAAATAACTTGTTTAAAAACTAAAACAGTCATAATTTCCGATGATTTTAAAAGAGACAACTAAAAGATTAATAACTAATGGGAATACTCACAATTTACATAACAGTCCTATTCCAGTTTAAAGGGTTAATTTTTAACAATCAAACTGTCCATAGACGGGAAAAGATAAGCTTACAATTTAAATCAACGTAAAAAGGCTGTCAGCTTTTATAAAGTACCGTACCTAAGTTTTTTAGCCAATTTGTAGACAATAAGGTGTAGGCTACTTTAAACTCTACATGACAGAGTTAGACAAACACTGGCAGAACTCTGAAATGGTGTTATATCATAGGCTTACTCATATGCCAAATCCTTAAAATAAAAATTCTATAATTAATAACTTATATCATTAAACACAAACCAACATCTTTTTTAACATTTGTAATACAACATATAGATAATTTACACATAGACTGTTTACAATTAACATATCCTCTTTTACTCACTATTAATTTTTGCAACGGGAACAATCTGTTTCATAATCATTGACATAGATTTATAATAAATAATCTATTATAAAGTTTAAAATTAAATAAACCTGCCACATAGATGTTTTATTTTTTTTTATCAGCTGGCTGAAATTTTTAAATAGGCATTTGACAGTTCTGGTTGTTTACATTTAAATGTCAAAGCAAATGTAAACATTGTGAATTTTCTCCTGCTTCCATGGTGACCAATTATTAATATTAAATTTCTGACAACAGCTGGAGTTTCAAAACAATTTTTGTTTCCCATGTTAATCTTATGGAGAAATACGAAACTTTAAAGGGCCCCAGGGCCTCACTCTCTAATTATTTTCCTAAAAAGAAAGTTTCCTGCACAACTTCACGATACGCTCTTTCCAATGACACCAAAAACATGGCAATCGGTTCAGTAGTTTCGGAGGAGTAATTGTCACAAAAATCCTGCTTGCGTATTAAATAAGTATAGATTAAAAGGAATTAATGAATCTTAACAGCTGTTTTAATTAAACAAGTTGGTTCTGTTCTATGATGTTCAATAGCGTTAAAGTTACAAGGATTACCAACAGGGTGCAGCACTATTATTTTTTTTTTATTTATGACAACAGCTAATTTGCAACCAAAAGGTGAGTGAGCGTAGCGAACGAGCTCCAACCTAAAGATGAGTGAGCGTAGCGGAACCAGTACGTGATTGAGCCATGCGAACGAGCTCATCTTGAAAATTAAGAAGTTAAACGGGGCAAAGCCCGCAGGTACAGCTAGTATATATATATAAGGCAAAGCCCTCACTGACTGACTGACTGACTCACTCACTCATCACTAATTCTCCCACTTCCCATTTACCTTGGAGGCTGAAATTTGGTACACTGATTCTTTAGGCATTAAATAGGAAAACTAAGTTGTTTTTATTCTGATCGGACTCCGCCCCAGTGGCTCTGGAGTTTCCCATGTTAACCTTATGAGTACTCATATTTAAATGGAATTAATGAACCTTAACAGCGGTTTCAATTAAACAAGTTGGTTCTGTTCTATGATGTGCAATAGCATTAAAGTTACAAGGATTACCAACATGGTGCAACACTATTATTTTTTTTTTATTTATGGCAACAGCTAATTTGCAACCAAAAGGTGAGTGAGCGTAGCGAACGAACTTCAACCTGGAGGCGAGTTAGCGTAGCGAACGAGCTAACTTGAAGGCAAGTGAGCGCAGCGAACGAGCTCCAACCTAAAGGTGAGTGAGCGTAGCGAACGAACTTCAAGCAGGACGTGATTGAGCCATGCGAACGAGCTCACTTATGAAGTAAAACGGGGCAAAGCTCGCGGGTACAGCTAGTTGTTATATATTGTGATTTGTCAGAATTACAAGATAGTCTGTTTGCAGAAAACCAATCATATGCTCTATGTTCAGCCTCTTGACTAATTAAGTGCAGGGTTGTTAAATTAGAATGGTTAGCGAGTAAAGTTGTATCATCCGCATATATAACAGATTGTGTATTTATATTTATAGGAAGATCATTAATGTAGACGTTAAAGAAAAATGGCCCTAGTACAGAGCCCTGAGGAACACCGGTTTCAACTTTTTCAGTTTTAGAACATTTATTTTTAATTGATACCAATTGAAGTCTATTACATAAATACGAAGAAATTAGAAGCATGGCATCATTAGTGATGCCATAAAAACGTAGTTTGTTAGTTAGGATATCAAAAGGAACCGTGTCAAAAGCTTGACTTAAATCACATAAAACTAATGACACAGATTCTTTCTTTTCTAAAGTTTCGAGAGAATGGT